TTTCCTTGTAGACCAATTTGAAATTCAGATTTCCAAACGGCGCCGAGCACGCCATATTATATACATTTCTGAGGGGTGAAATATTTGCGTGAGAGTGATTCGCATCGGAAAAGGAGGGCTTCGAGCCCAAGTTTTGACAATCGAGGGTTAAATTTAATTTCGAAACAAAATTTATTTGTTCCTTTTTAAAATTTTTAGATTTTGAAAGAGTGTAACACGTCAGTTGATATTTGTTTTTATTCGCCAAATAAAACATCATGTTCATTGTCCGGAATTAAAAAAAAATACTTGCGCAGTTACCAAATACTTTAAAAAATTAAAAACCAAAGAAAATCGCGTGCCTGGGCTTAAATATTTGGGGAGCGATGAAAAATTTGTAATTCTGATTAGTGCAGACCTAAATTAGGTCATAATTTACAATTTGCATGCCGCCACTTCTCTCTGCTGGAGAAAATTTCCGTAGTCTCGCAAGCAATTCACAAAATTGCTCACCTGTTCGTTGACCTTTTCTTTTCATGCGAGCATAAATACACTTTTCGCCGAAGGCCTTTCTTTCACATCCTCTTGGGGAAATTATTGAAAATGAAGTTCAGCGAGCCTTCAACTGAGCAGTCGATAACCATTAGCCAAAGTGACCTCTTAACGTTTTACCTGTTGTTCCTCGGCTTCAGACACGACACATAAACGTACGATTACTCCTTTCCTTAAGTGATTGAGCTTCTAATGGCTTTATTGTAATCAGTTTTTAAGCAACGACCCAGGCAACAACCACTAACAATTGTTTGGCAAAAAATTGCGATCACTATAGTGGACAGCAACAGAAAACATTATTATTTTGATGTGCTTAAAATAGGGTAAATCAATAAAGAAATGTAATGGAAAAAATCATCATAAAAATGTAGAGGTTTCGGCTTCCGTGACGCTCTGCGGAAATTATTCAAACTTTTTTACGCCACAAACTAAATTTAATAATATAGCACTCGAAGTATTTTTATAGCACACACTTCAATTCTTAATTGCGGCGTTCCCTAGAATTTTGGCGATTGCAAAAGTTTTATAGCAGGCTGAACATGAGGAAATTGTTCTCTTTTGTTTTCGATTGGGCGTCATAGAGATGCTTTTTTTAAATTTAGTAAAAATATTTTACTATTATTTAACCACGTGAATTGAAAATTTTTATTATTCTCATGCTCACTGACAATAAAACTCGAGAAATAATTCCTTCCTCAAATAAGTTTTTACAGCCTTGGCCCAAAATTCAAATTAATTTCTCGGGAGTTCGCGTTCCGACGGTAAAGCCGTGGCAGACGCTGGCAGAAAATTTTTGAAATAGCTGCCGTCGGCTGCCTATGCGACAACTTTTTACACAAGGCGTGTATTATTGAATTGCAAAACTCGGTGTGGTACAGCAGAGGCAAGTATGTCAACTGCTTAGCATGTCGGCATGCAAAACAATAATAATAGCAGAGAGCGCGCCCCGCCGTAATGTGTTTGCTCGACACGGCCGTGTGTGTCTCGCTATTATCCCGGGAAATGAGGTGCCATATATACGGCCATATAAGTGGTAGTGGTGGCCGTTCCACGAACAAATGGAATAAAAACTACAATGTACACCCGAGCGGGTAAATAACGAAGCAAAACACACCCTGAAATGAGGCAGATAAGGGTCTTGCGTCGCCGGAGCTGACGAAAATTAATTGGGCTGATTAGCATAAAATGTACATATAAAACTTGCATACATGTTGAAGAACTTTTTATGATGAACAAAAACTTGATTTGAAGTAAGAAATTATTTACATGAAAATCTAATTATTTTTATTTTCTAATCTTTCCAAGAATTAAGTGGTTATTATTATGCCTTGCAATAAGTAAAATTTTATTATATCATTAAATTATACGTTATACTCTTTGATTTTTCAATTTTAAAAAATGTTTTAGGCTTATTATGCAATTTAGGAAATAATTTATAAAATTATACTTCTTATTTGGTAAAATATATTGTAATTTAATTCTGCAACTTAAGTTAATAGCATTATTACACTCCATTTTAGTTTGAGTTTCATTAGCTTATTAAAATAATTTCAGAGCATGTTTAGTACCGTGCACTCTCTCTCCATTACTTAATTAAGCGTCGGCGACGAAGATTCCGAGCTCCCCGCGGGGCCGTTTTCCACCTGAACATTGCTGCCGGCGTGTTTGATGGATTGCGCGCCCCTCGCCGCTTTCGTGTGCATGAGTCATACAGGTGTTCACCCTCGCCCGAAAATAACGCACAACCAACAATCGCGATGTAATTACTAGTTTTGTGCCCCGGCGCAAATAATTTCCACTCTTTTAATCCGTATCTGCTGCTGGTTGTTCAGATCACTGCTGTCAACGCGCGGAATTTCCGCCTCACTTGCTGCCCTAGAGCGCGGATCAATGCCATTGTCTGCGAGCCCCTGTGCTCACAGAAAAGTGTGCAAATTGCATTCTTGGTGAATCACTCTCGTGTTACATACTCGATTTGTCCAAAACATGATGCTTGCGGACGGATATTTTTGCTCAAGACAGAAATTAAAATCAACACATCTAAAAAGTGCTGTGTTATAAAAAAATTGTTTATCATTAATTTGGTTTTAAACATGACAAAAATAAGTTTCTCCATTCTGTTTTACTGCTTAACTACTTACAATTATTAAAGTTGTTCTAAGAATATGCACAGTAATTTAGAACGAACTGAGAGTGGAAAAAAAATTTAATTTCCTTTTTATTTAATCTCAATTGGATCAACACGTATTTCTAGCCACGTTAATAAGAGAAAATGAAGCAATCGTTGGACGTAATTACACAAAATGGTACAAAACGACGAAATGTCCCTAATGACGACTAATTATGATAAGAAATCTGAGCCTTAATATAAGTCTTTTATGCCAACTTTGGGAACTTAATACTATTAAAATTTAGTTGATATCGTTTCAATAACAAATAGTAAAGGATTATTTATATTTGTGTATATCAATAGCCTTTAGATTGCTTATTTAAAAGGATTGACATGAATTGTCTCTTTTCCCAACAAGTTTATTCATTGCAAAATAATACGCACTAGTTCTTAATTTTTTGTTATGAAAGTGTATGAAAATTTGCAAGTGCAATTCTCACATGCTTCACAATGAAAGTTTTTGTTGCTATTCAATATAAATAATGATATCCATGACTTTCAAATCAAATAAAAGCTGATCTATCATTAAATTTAAAAGATTCATTTCCAAGCTTCATTTTTCATTTATTTTGCATGTGTATGTTTGATAAAATTTCGTTAGTAATCATCATTTCATTTATGACTTATTTTTTCTAATCCTTTTTGATGCCGTTTTTTAGAAGAAAATTAAAATTTATGAGCATCGCTATATATTGATTTACAAATGAATCATAAAAATATTAAAATTAAAATTAGCTAATAATTAATTACATTAAATTTACATTTCGGCTTAATTTGATTTACTTTATAGTCCTAAATAGGAACCGAAACATTATCATAATATGGTATGTACGTTGTTAAGCTAGGTCGCATGTCACTTGAGTTTAACCGGTTGCATATCCTCTCGGATCGCAGGCGACGAGCAGCAAAACAACTCGCGCGGCCCACGCTGCAAGTTTTCCATTTACCGAATTCAATTGCTGCGTGACACTCACAGGATTTTATTTTCGGATGGAAACACTCTCTGCTGGCGTCACGTTAGCCAAATTAAACGGGACTAGTCTATAGTTGTTAGTCTGATTAAAGGCGGAAAATCGCGTCCCCAGGGCACAGGACGAAGAAACGTCCGTGGAACAGTGTCGGGTATCGCAATGGGCTGTGACTCACTCGCTCACGCACGCACCCACCCAGCACCCGCCAGCCACGGGGGTGGCGAGCCATAAGGCCGGGGGTGGAAAAATAAGATAAAGGAATCCGCCGCACGACAATGGAGTTGCGTCCAAACATATTCGAGTGCGCGAGTGGCGGGTGCAGGCAAGATAATCAAATACGAGCGGAATTAATTAATTATAGTGGATGATGGTGGCAGATTTAGTTTTGATTGATGTGAGTTTCTCTCGGCGACGAGTGGGCGGCCGAGAATGAAAATGAATAAACCTCGCGGGGAAGATTTTATTTGGCAGCAGCAAACGAGTGCCCCTTGGGTGGTTGTTACTCGTGCTGACGACAATTTTTATTGTGTTTGCACGAGTCGAGAGCGTGGCGAAGCTCTTAATGAGCAAGATGAACGAGCCGCTTGTCACGGCTATAACTTAATTTTTAAGATTTACGGTTAACGACTGCATACAACACAATAACAAAAATTTGATTTAATGATCAATTTAATCCAGCACGTAAAGGTTAATTTAATTAAGATCAAGTTTTACAAGTTACTTTCAAACTCTAAGCAACTTAATTATTCAATCAAAACATACATTTACGGCTAAAATATTGTTTTTGAGCAAAATATTATTCATTACAAGACAAACTTAATAAATCTAGAAAAGAAACAGTTCATTAAAATTATTGTTTTTTCCATTTCAATAAATTTTCAAAATTATAACTTACTTTTGTAAATTATTTACATTTATTTTTAATTTTTATATATAATATTAAATTATCTTGACATGACAAGAATAATGCAAAATCGTCATTGAAAAATATATATTTCAACCATAATTTATTATTTGATCTCTAAAATGACAAATATTTCTAAAATTAACATTTTATTAATTTCACGAGATTTTCAGTCTTTTATTTTGTTATTCTATTATGCGCATTACGAATAATGTAATAATTTACCTAGCATGGCGCAAAAAAAGTGTGCTTTTTGACGCAAATGGAGACAAATGCGATTCGGAAGATTTATTGTTTCCATTATTTTCAATAATTTTGAATTTTTCAAAAATTTGAAATCTATCACTTGGAATTTCCCATCATCAATTGGACGAGCACAGGAAGTTCTGTCCTATCCGGCAAGCGTCATCAGTGCAAAAATGAGTATAAAATTGAGGCAAGCGAGCAGATTTTTGGACTTTCCGTGTTCGGTTTGCGATCTGTTTACTTGCCGAGATGAAGCTGACGCTAGCAGTAAGTTCAAAGCTATTTATATTTTATAAATCTGAATGAAAAATTAACTTATTGCAAAAATGTCAGGCAACTACAGACTAATGCATTTACAGTGAACATTAAATTGAACAAACGATTTTTTAATTTTTTTTTTTTTAAATAATCAGTTCTTAATCGGTAATTTAGAAATATTTCTTTATATTCGATTACGGACTATAAAATTGATCTAAATTTCATCAAAATCTTGAGAGTGATTATTTTAAAAATGCAACAAGTGCAATAAACGTTTATAAAAAATTACAAAATTTAATATAAAATTCTAGCCCAAAATCATAATCCATTTTTATTTAATTATGCAAAATATTATTGGATATGTTATAATATTGTTAACAATCCTTATTTCTCATAATGAATTAATGAAATAAGAAGTTGTGAAACAATTACCTATTTGTGTTTTTTTAGAATATTTTATAACAAATTACAATAAAAATTATGAGTGAAACTTAAAACTAAAATTAAAAGACAGAATAAAAAATAAAATAAGTAAATTTTTCTAAATTGTCAGATTTTGTTGGCGATTTGCGGATTGCTTGCCTTCACAACGTCAGCACCAGTTGGCGAAGAGACAAAACGCACCGGTGACGTGGTCGCTCCGTCAGTTCTTTCACAGCCTGACGGCAGCGGTTTAGCAGCAGGTCTTCCTGGAGATTTGTCAAAAATTAGGGAAAAATTTAAAAAACGAGCAAAAGGCTTTTTAAGTCAAATGAACGTAAAAGTCCCAGACGGTATAGTGCCTGATGGAAAAGATGGACCAGCTCTACCTCCAACAGGAAGATTTCCTTTATTAGGTCAAATTAACGCTCCTTCCGATGGCTCGGATTCCGGATCTGACGTTTTCACAGGACCATTAGGAGGAAAGTTTACACTGCCAAAGCTTCCCAACGTCGGAGATGAGGTGAATGGAGCCAATGGCTTTCCTAACTTGGGATCTTTTGGCAAACCAATGAGCTCTGGGGGCTCAGATGGACCAGAGGGTCTCTTCGGAGGAAAGGACGGTCAGGGTGGAGTTCCGGAGCAACTTGGGCAAGTCATGAAGAACGCAATGAATAAGGTCAGGGGCGTCTTTTCTCCGCAGTCAGTTAATGGGAAGATCGAGGTCAAACCTGCTGGTGAAAATACATCACCAAACGATTCCAAACCTGCAGAAGCAAATAATGATTCTGGAACTTCTCAAGTCTTGGCTGCAAAACCGTTCAAGATAATAAGGGAGAGGATTAACAAACTAAAGAAAAAATTTACTAAGACACAGGAGTAACAATTTAAATCCATTAATAGATTTTATATTAACCTGATTGAAAACAAATAAAATCTCATTGCATCTAAATTAATGAGTTTTTTTTTAAATAAAAATTTAACTCAATCTTTAAATTAGGAATTAATTTCTTAATTCTTTACAAATATTTAAATTATGTAGTAATAGAATAAATAAAGAGAATAAATAAATAGCAAAAATAAAATATCAGCAAAACCTGATTAGTTTTTTTGCCCTGATTTTCATTGTTTCGAGCAATCGGCGCGTATAATCAAGTCAAGAAATCACAAGCGCCAAAAATATTCCCGCGGCTGCTCTAATTGCCAAAGCCACTCCAAGCAAGGGTGCTCAAAATGCGGATAATTGCCCGGCGGCAGAGCGAGAAACCTCGGCCCGCATAACAATTTTTCATCCTCAAGAGAAACAAAACAAAAAAAAAAAGAGGGAAAAAATCACCTGGAGAGTAAAAAGCAGAATGCGTGCACACAATCATACATTGTGTGCGGAAACGTGTATATATCCGCAGCGTGCGTTTAATGACGTCAGCCTCGGCGATATCAAAATCGCACCTGGCCTTCGAATAGCACAAGGGTTGCTGAATGAGGGAATCCCCTCGCCAGCCAGCGTCCGCCCCTCCTCGCGGCCCTTTGTCTGCGTGCACCCGGCTTGTGGGGCGCGACATTATGCACTTCCACAACCCCAGCGGGAACAGCTGCCGTTCTTGAATCAAAGCGTTTTACTCTCCTGCTTGCTCTCTCTCTCTCGTCTCGACCGCGTAGTACTAGTCGTAGTAAATAAAGATAAAGTACGTGCGTTTGTGCCTCGAGAATTCGGTCTTGAGGAGGGTCTTGGCGTGGCAATGAATGAAACGAGACTTGCTTGAATGAGCCACGTCGTGTTGCGTCTGCAGGGGGCGGTTTAAAGGGCCCAAGACACAGGTGGAATCTGTGGCACCTTGTCTTCAAACAGCTGCCACAAGATGCGAAGGAGATTTGAATATCTTCGAGAAGGAGAAGGTTGAAAGACACCTGTTAACTAGGTCACTGTGTCGCGCATAAACTCTGTTTTTTTTTTCTTGTAAATTTGAAACTAAATTAAAATTTTATAAAAAGTTTCTTCTCTCTTTTCTTAAAATTACATCGCTTTATAAAATATTTTAAAAATTAAGAATTAAAAAGTACGTTAATAATTCATTTTTGGAGCAATTTGGAAAATTTTATTGTAGATAGAAAGCAACAAAACCAAAATTTTGAAACTTAATCTTTTTCCTCTCTATTTTTATTGTGGAACTGCTTTGAAATGTCAATTAAAATATGAAAAATTTCTCAGTTTAAAATTCTGATTGCTCAATTATATAAATGAATTTAGATTTTAGAAAGTAAAAATTTACTTCAGTAAAATTACTCTGCAAAGAGATAATTCTCTTTAAGCTATCAATATGTAAGCATATTGCAATTTTCCCTTCATCGACTATTCGTGGTAATAACCCTTTCCTTTGCCATTATCTTATCAATTTGCACTCAGCCGCGCAAGGGTGGCGGTTTATTAGCTTGGGCATTATCAAGTTGGTGTAATGAGAGCGCAGATGTCTTCATAATCTTGCGTGGCTCGACACAAAAACAGCTCCAATTATCGCTCACCCTTGACGCATTTTGGCTGAAATAGCGCGCTCTGGCACTCTTTCCGCTAAGCGGCGCATTCTCTCGCCAAACATAGCTGCAAAAGGGGCGAAGTACGAATAATAAGAGGGCGCAGATTGTTGCCAAGTAACCGTGAACTTCAATCACGCCCGTCGCTCAAAGTCGAATTTCCTAGTAATAGTTATTGCTGCAAAAATAGTGAAATTAATTATTAATAATGTATTAAAAAAAGTGAATTGAAGGCACTTTATGAAGAAAATCTGTATAAATTAATTAATGAAATAATTATAAAAGAATACTTAAATATGAGACTTTAAATTTGTTAAAATACTACAAGTAAAAATTAATTTTTAAATCTTCAATTTTATAAATTAATTCAATTTGTATACACATATTTCAGATTTTTAAATAAATAAATAGTAACCAGTTAGAAATTATGTTTAATTTAAATAATAAAAATACATTTATTTACAAAATTTGGGTGTTTTTTTTTAATTCTATTGATTTAGAAAATATTTTTAAAAAGTCAATCAGATATTCTTTTTGTAAAAATGTCAAAACTCGTTTGTTTGAAAGTACAAAATTATTCAAGAAGAAAAACTGGTAGTCTTCGTGCATCCAGCAAAACTACTTTTCAACCCCCATTTAACCCCATAGCTTCTGTTGCCTTTTTGGTCAATCTATTTACATCCTATTCAAGCACGCGCTGCACAAAAACTGGCCGCGAGTGCAGCAGGTATAGAAACCGGCACCCGAGGGAATGCTAAAAATAAATCAGCTCAACCCGTTTTCGAGTCCCGTTCGTGCTGCACAATAACAAAACATCCCCCGAAACGCAACCCTTTCCCGTTTCATTCCTACACTGCTCTAAATTTAGCCGCCAACTAGCCAGACTCGTTCGACTCGTGTTTTTCAAAAGGCGATAGAAATAAAATACGCGCGGAGAGCAACAACCCTGTCGCCGACCGTCTGGACCCACCCCATTTCATCCCCCGGCAGCGCGTGCTCTTTGTGTCTGCAGCTGATCTCGCGGTAACCAGCTGGCCTGGCAGCTCGCTGGGGCAGGTGAAGCTGCAAGCGAAAGAGATGATGCGGGCATGCATTTCACCCCCTGCATCCCCCGCTGCACCGACGAGAGACCGCGCGTTGATTATTATTATTGTCGCGCTGCACGATGATGATAATGCGCTCAATAACTATGCTCTTTGATGGGCTCTCTCTCTATTTTTAGTTTTTCAGCTGGAACAATATGCACTTTTTATCGTGAAGAGCGATGCCACTTTATCATCTGCCGAGCGAATATAAAAGCCACTTTGCTACTCGCGATGCGTCCGACATGATTAAATACTTTGGCCGCCGCGAGTAATGAGAGAAAGAAAGAGCGTCATATGGCTACTTTTGCCGCTTTTTGTTATCCGAGTTAAAGGGTTGTGCGATTTTGCATGTCACTGTCTGTTACTATGGACAAAAGTGGATGTGAAGGGCCTGAAAATCGCATCCCCATTTTACTCGCAGAGGAATAAAATATTAATTTTTATTAATGATGCATGATACAATAGTTTTTTATATCTATTAAAATATAAATTTAATCAGCAAACATTTCAGGTGACGATGGGGTTGAATTTTAAAAATTTGAAATGAATGTCATAAATGAAACAAAACATAAAAATTAAATTTTAACTTTTGAAAAAATTGATAAAACGAAAAAATGTATTTATTAAAATTAAATATTTTAATACTTTTTAAAATTTAACATTAAAAAATTTTGTTTTGTTAATTTAGAATATTGTAACAAAAACTTTTACCCCTGAAGAGCACAACGACGACCAAGAAAAACTGAAAAATTGATGAATTCATAAATTTTAATAAGGTAGAAATTTTATATTCCTTTGAAAAAAGAACTAGAGTTTATTAAGTAAAGAGCACGTGGTAATTTCGCTCAGCAAAAGTGTTCATTGTTTGATCAGCTTCCTTCAGACTGGAAAATGCGCTCGGCACGTGATTACAATGGGCGGTGACCACATGAAGTGTTTCAAGCCGCGATGGTGCAGCTGCGACGCTATCCGATACTTTGTTCATCCGAGAGGATCCCCTTTGTTTGAGAGGTTCGTGCTAGCGTTTTTAATTATAGGGAGGGAAATAACAAGCGCGGCCACTGGATTAATTGGTGTTATCTCGTGATAATTGCGGCCGCCACTTATAATATCGCATATACTGTATTTGCGCAGTGTTTAAACAGCTTTTGGAAATGGCATTATCTCGCCCAGTGGCTTTGGTTGTCATAAGTCATAAGGATGAGTTTGTGAATGCAGTTTCACTGGAATGAATTAGTGGAATTCTAGATAATGTTGATTCTGTTCTTTTTAAAGCTTAATTAGATTTCTTACACACTTAACACGATTCAAAATATAGTTTTACCCTGTAAAATAAATTTGAAAAAATTAACCCTTTTTTATTTCAAAATTGGAAAAGTTTATTTCAATTATTCTTATTTAATTTTTTGTTAAACAAATTATTTTATGATCATAATTATATTATATTATCTACCTCAACAAAAAATCACTAAAAAATCAACAAAAATTGTTGTTTATTTTTATCATGAAATAAATATTGACAAAAAAATTTAATGAAAGTTAGAATATTAATTAAGAAATATTTTACTTTTATGGTTTTAAGAGTTGTACTAAACAATATCACTCCACTTCAACCCTTTGCCCGTCTCCGGTGCCAGGCGGAAATATCCACACAGCCGCCCGGCGTGTAAATTGCACCGCGACGAGTATGCTTAGCTCTCTCGACGAAACCACTTCCTTTTCCCCGTCGATTTCTGCGTGAAATCCTGATAATGCACCAAAAAAAAACTAATCATGCCCCTCGCACGAAACTGGCAGCTGCACTTGTGGGAGGAAAAGTTTTTATTTTTATTTGATGCGAACTTTACGTTGTTTATTTTAGGCAGTGTCATTTCCGTGTGATTATACACACAGTACAAAAACGGCAACGGCACAGTACAACTGACAATATAAAGAATAATCACATTAGACGGCGCTCACAATTGGTGCAGGATCGTTATTGGAGTGTGAGAGAAAATTGTGATCTAATTAACGGTCGCTTATAATGTTCGAATAAGGGTGGGTGTGTGCTCATGTGTCTCTATATTTTATGTTGTCTACGGGTCGGTGCAAAAGCTTAACTTAATTTAGATGGCTGTGGCTTAAAGATTCATTAATTTTAATCTCAGAAATATCTCTTCAATGATTTTCTCAATTATGTTCATTTTAATTTAAGAGGCCTTAAAGTATTGATTAAAATGGATTAAAAAGTTAATTTTTTAAATCAAATTTTTCACAAATTCTTATTAAATATTGAATTCAGCATTTCCATAAGAGGATATTTTACTGTTCCATCAAAGCTCGCATCATTTTACTAATCTAAAATATAATTT